GGAATTGGCTGCGAAAAATCCTGAAAATCTTTCCGAGACAGTTCCTGGCCAGTACAGGAGTACTCAGCAATAACCAGTACGAGGTGGGAAGGACAACATCACAGCTCCCCAGCTGAGATAGATTCAGGGACAAGGCTGAGAAGCCATGAATACAGATAGTTCCTCTGGAGAGAGACAGAGAGGAACTGGGCCTGGATTAAGCCACAGTGGGGGAACTCAGGGTCATTACAGTTTGAGACCTTCCTCATTTTCACTGCTGGCCACAGTGTCACTGCAGCACATCCGGGGCTCTGCAGAGCACACAGAGCCTCCAAAGAGACATTGGGAAGTTCCCAAATTATGCCCCCTCACTGCAAACCAACCACGTCTGTTCCTCTGTGCTCCTCATGGGGAGACAGCCTGCCAAAAGCTGTAGGTTTTGTTGCCTCCTGTGCTTGGCTCCACAACGTTCTGCCAGCTGTTAACAACTCCAGCTCATGCTCGGATGCTGCACGTCCCACAAAGAACACCCTGAGCAGCATAAACTTTCAGTAGGAAAGGCAGCAAGTGCCAGAAGCCATATTAAATTCTTCCCATTAAGGAAACCACACAATGTTTATAGTCTGGTAAAAGAAAAGAACCCAGCAGATGGCTGCTGAGCCCGGCGGCGGGGGGGGCGCCAGCCGAGGTCCCGGTGTGCCCCTCCGTGCAGCCCGTGCCCTTCTGCAGGTCCCAGTCTGTCGTCACCTGCCGAGCAAGGGCAGAGGTGCCACCTCTCAGCCCACTGCTGGCCACGATGGGGTGGCTGGGCTGGGTGCTCAAGCAACCAAACACACACAGTCCCAGCCCCAAGCTGTGTCCTGGCCACACCAGCTCAGCCTGCGGCACAACCGCCAGCAAAAGCCCTGGGACACGGGTCAGTGTGTCCCCTGCACTGTGCAAAGGGCACGAGAGATGGGGGCTTCCTGCACCAGCCCCCTGAGAGCAGGAGGGTGCACAAGCTGGTGGGTTCTCCCAGCAGAGCTGCTGTGCTGATCTGCTGCTCATGTGTTCCTGTCAGCAATGCTCAGGTAATTGCTTTTGCTCTACCACAAGCCTCATGAGGAGGAAAAGGAGGAAGGAAAAAAAAGGAAGTTCTCTGGATTGTCCAAGGATCCCCCCTCCAGAGCAGAGACACAGGGAGGTGGTCCTAAACCCCCTGCTTGCATGAACCACCTCTAAACTCTCTGTCTCTCGGATGTCTCTTCTGCACGAGCAGCTTCCCCCCAGACAGAGGGAGGAATGTGCAGCACATGAGCTTTCTTTCTCTCTGTGGTTGTTGAGATCAGGCTGGGAGACAGGAGGGGCAGCCAGAGATCTCGTCATCCTCCCTCAGCCAAGATCAGAACAACAACAAGAGCAGGGCAGCAGCAGGGAGAGAGGGTCTGGGATTAGCTGCTGAAAAGCCTGAAAATATTTCCCAGACAGTTCCTGGCCAGTACAGGAGTACTCAGCAATAACCAGTACGAGGTGGGAAGGACAACATCACAGCTCCCCAGCTGAGATAGATTCAGGGACAAGGCTGAGAAGCCATGAATACAGATAGTTCCTCTGGAGAGAGACAGAGAGGAACTGGGCCTGGATTAAGCCACAGTGGGGGAACTCAGGGTCATTACAGTTTGAGACCTTCCTCATTTTCACTGCTGGCCACAGTGTCACTGCAGCACATCCGGGGCTCTGCAGAGCACACAGAGCCTCCAAAGAGACATTGGGAAGTTCCCAAATTATGCCCCCTCACTGCAAACCAACCACGTCTGTTCCTCTGTGCTCCTCATGGGGAGACAGCCTGCCAAAAGCTGTAGGTTTTGTTGCCTCCTGTGCTTGGCTCCACAACGTTCTGCCAGCTGTTAACAACTCCAGCTCATGCTCGGATGCTGCACGTCCCACAAAGAACACCCTGAGCAGCATAAACTTTCAGTAGGAAAGGCAGCAAGTGCCAGAAGCCATATTAAATTCTTCCCATTAAGGAAACCACACAATGTTTATAGTCTGGTAAAAGAAAAGAACCCAGCAGATGGCTGCTGAGCAGTTAACTCTGACATCCCTGCAGCAGAGTTAAAGGCCATTTGGGAGAAGAGTATCCTCCAGAAAAAGAGGCCTTTCAGTTTTAACATGGCACAGGCATGCTAAAGGAGCCATGGCAGTACTGCACAGGAACAGGAGCCCTCGGCATGTGCCATGGCACCTTGTCCTGGCTCCCCGATGGAATGGTAGCTCCTATGCTAGAGTCCCATGGGGTCAGTGTTCAAAATGGAGTGGGGTCTGACACCCTCAAAGCACTCTCATTCACAGCAGGCTTGGGGGAAGCTGGACTGAAACCCCAAACCCTGTCACTCCCAAGTAAAGCACAGCCTGGCTGCCGTTCCCTTTTTTCCTACCGTCAGGAGTTTCCAAACCAGCTTGGGACAACTGAAGTTATTTCTGAAAGGAAAAACCAGCTCTGTTCTGGGTTTGACTTTCCCTGCCACATGGGCCCAGCCACTGCTCTGTGCTCCAGCTCAGCAGGGATTCCTGCCACAGGAGCTTGCTGAGTCCCAGCCAGGTGGCTGAGTAACCCAGGCTCTCCCTGTTCCCCCAGTTTACACCCAGCACATGGGGAAGCCTGCTTGACCAGTCTGGGTTCAGCACCTCTCTGGCAGGCAGAGAGCCACAGATGCACGTCCCTGCTTGCAGAAGCACCCTCAGCACTGTCCCTTGTCCCTCAGCTCCCCCAAGACCCCCCCCCACAAACTGCTGGGACTTCACTGCCTCATTGGCTTTGCCAGGGAAGTGCCTGTCCTGAAAGGAGATCTTCAAGCCAGGGATGACACAAGCCCAGTCAGGACCCAGTGACATTTACCCCAGGGTGTCTCGGGCTCCACTGTCCCCACAGGACAGGAATGGGTCCCAGCTGAACAGGCCCGTTGGCTTGAGAGCCCCCCAAGTGCACCAGCACCAAGGGAGGAGCACACTGGGTCAGGCCTGGGGCTGCTGAAAACAGGTCCAGCAGCTTGGCTCAGACAAAAAGGACATTTTGTTGACAAGAAGTCATTTTTGGCAAAAAAAGGGAAAAGCTGATAAAAATATTCTGAAAAATTCAGCTGGGAGCAACACATGTGCCAAAAGAGAGAAGGAGCTGGAGCCAAGTGGTTTAAAGAGCCCGATGCTGCTCCCAGCCCCTCTGATCCCACATCCCTTGGGAGCAGCAGTGAGGGGTCTGGTGGGGCAGGGAGAGCCACAGCCCTTTCCTCATTGGGAAAGCCCATGGAAGTATGGGAGTCCTGCTCCAGGCTCCTGGGAGCCAGGGGTGCTCTCTGATGACATTCCCAGGAACAAACACAACACAGACAAAATCCGTGCTTGGGCACAGGGACGTGGCATGCCCATGAGCACCCCTGCAGAGAGAGGGTCACTGCACTGCAAGGTACAGCCTGACAAAGTGACAACACCAGGAACAGCTGGAAACAGGAACCTCCCTCTCAGAGCAACTGTTTATGGCACCTGGATAAAAAGTAGCTTCATCCCCTGCCTCAGAAGACAACCCATGTTCCAGCCTCAGGCAGATGAGTGGCAATCAGAAGGGACAGAGCTTTGTCCCTTCTCGGCAGGGGGCTGTCCCAGGTGTGGGGAAGAGATGTGCCTTGCATGGTACTCACAATGCTCCTCATCATCTTGTCCCCGCCGCTGAAGGTGACGGCCAGCATGGAGGCACATTCCTCGGCGTAGAACGGCATGGAGCCCGTCTCATCCACCGCGCCTGGGGAAAAGCCAGAGGCCTCGCCTGTAGGAACCTTCTTTTGCTTTACCAGCTGGAACTGTCAGGTGAGGAGGCCCTGTGGACCCATCCTGCTCGCTGGGCTGTGTCACAGGTGGGGAGCTAGGCAGGGAAACCGGACCCAAGCCTGGATTTGTCATGGCTGGAAGATCTATGGGAGAGGCAGCGCCACGGAAAAAACCTCCCCCCCGCGTAT